GGTAAATTATGATTTGTTTGGAGTTCCCCTACAAAACGTGGTGGAGCCAGAAATGTTTATTATGATCTAACGGCCCAATTTCAATGAGGGCCCAGTATTGTATGGGCCTTAATTGTGGGCTTGGCAATATAAATAGCCCAAAAAGCCTTTATTCTAAATGAAATGGAAATTTATTATTATTATTATTATTATTATTTTATATAAATTGAAAAATGGTGATGGCCAAGAATATAATTAGTGATTTGAGCGTTAACTAAAACTTAATTAGTTGAGAGCATATAATGATTTTGTACAAGATTTGCAATGATAATAATTAGTAGTCAATCCTTAAAAATTGATTAATCATAATATGAGTAAGGAAAAAGGTATGGATTTATCATCACAATTGATTTACACCATCTTAATTATTTTCCTAATTATTTTTTTTTAATAAAACTTATTCATTGTCTCGTTGAATCATCCCCGTGTAAGCTTCAATCAAAAGTCTCTTTCTTTCGACTTCACCCGTTTCAATTATCAATCCTAGTAAACAAGTCGACTCCAAAGAGGCACGGTTCTTTTTTAACTTTTTTTTTCTTCTAAGTTTTCCTTCAAATTTTTAAAACAAGCCTGTTTGGGTGAGATTTATGAGTTTCCCTTTCAGGTGTTTTTTTCTTACGGGTTTCCCCTCAAGGTGTTTTTTCTTCTGGGTTTCCCCTCGAGATGTTTTTTCTTCTTGGGCTTCCCCTCGAGATGTTTTTTCTTCTTGGGCTTCCCCTCAAGGTGCCTTATCTATCGGGTTTCCCCTCAAGGTGCCTTTTCTTTCGAGCTTCCCCTCAAGGTGCTTTTTCTTCTAGGCTTCCCCTCAAGGTTTTAAAACGTGTCTAGTTTTCACAGTTTTACAATGAATGTTTCGTTACTCCTTCAATCGGTGTAATAGGAAGGGTGTTTACCCGATAATCCAATAAAAAAATTGAGTATAATATATTTTTTAAAATAAAAAATTTAAGGAAGAAAATTTAAAAAGCAAAGAAAGAGAGACAAAGATTGGGCATGCATGCATGTTCTTCCTTGTTGTTCCACTATAGATAACGACAAAAGCTAGTCTGCTTCATCTTTTTTAATGAATTTTATTCACTTTTAATATCCATTGCCACATTCATTTCATATATTTGTCACCGCCAATTGCCGCTTGTCATCCATGCAAATGCCCTTCACATTTCCACACATTAGAAAAATAATAATAGAGAATAATTTAACTACAGAACAGCTCATAATTTTGATATATATATATATATCCTCATCCATTCTCAACAAACACAAAAAAGAAACAGAACCCACCACAGATCTAACTAATCTACCACTGTCCCTCTGGTTTTTCCGGCCGCCGGCTGTCGGAAACTCATCGCACAGAGTTTTCAGTCACAGCCTGTGTCGTCTCATGGTCAATATCATCGAAGACTCGGTCAAATATGACGTGGACAAAAAGCTAATCAATAAGATTTCGCCATGTGTTCGCGATTTGGTTGTGTTACTTTTGAAGCCACCGACCCAGTTGGGTCGGGTTCACGATTTCGGGTATATGAGCCCCAGTAGTCTTCAAAATGGTCGCCACCTCAGTGTAGCTCTGAATCTGATGCTCTTTCTTCAAGATCTCTGGCGGCGCCGCTTCCGACTTCGACTTCTTCCACTGAGCGGCGGCGGATGGGATTGCTTCGGCTTGACCCGGGTTAAACTCCCGGCCCAAGATGGTCCCTTTTGTCAGAAACTCATAAGCCATGTACCCGGCTAGTAGCCGATTCGACGAAACTGGTGGCTCACTGGCTTTAAGAGCCGCCGGCTCCTTTCTTTTTCTGGATGGCCCAGGCGGTAGCAGCCCACGGATGTGGAAATGGAAACTCATTGCGTGCACTTTATTAAATGCCACGTAAACCAGGTCCCAACGAACACTCGGATTCAACGGTGGCAGAACCGTAGAAAGTTGATATCCTCAGGGGTAAAATCGTCCAACAAGATTTTGTAGTTTTTTTTTCCCTCTTTTATGGGAACAATTTGGCGAAAGGGTAAAAAGGGAAAGAAATGAATAATAATGAGTGCTAGGGCTTAAAAAAAATGGGGATAACGTAAGTTAAGGCTAAAAGGGAAAAGGTTTGAAAGCGAATAAATAATTAAAAATAAAAAAATAAAAATATGAATTTTTGTTTATAATTGGGAATGAAAATAGGGGAAAGGGGTCAATGTTTGAATGAAATCGGATCCAGATGGTGGCGGATGGAACCTGAGAGCACTTGTTGGATCGGCGTACGGACGGTAGTTTTACCAGTGGCGCCACTCGGCCAGCGGCGGAGATGACGACGGACAGAGAAAAATACCGTTCAGATTACAAAGAAAAAATCAGAACGAGAGAGAGAGAGAGAGAGAGAGAAAGAGAGGAGGAGAGAGAGTGAGGAAGGGAGAAAATGAGGCGAAGGCGAATTCCCCGGTTTTATGTAATAGAAGTTTCCAATTATACCCCTTCTCCAACAGTGAAATTTCCGAAATACCCTTGGAAAATGTCACTCCCTCTATTTCGTCCTCAATCTTGATCCATGCGCTTCAGCGGAGCCGTCCCTTATATATATATAAATATATATATTATATTATTTATTTATTCGTGTTTGATTTTTGATGCCAATAATTCAGCCCAAATAATCTAATTTAGTATTCTTTAAGTAAAAGAAAATTAATCTAATTTATATGTTGCATCTGACATCTTCTTTCACTTTAATTATTGGTTTGATTTTCATGATATTTTCTAAAAAAAAATAATATAACAAATAAGAGTATCAAAAAGACATCACATTAATCTACGAAATTAAATCGAATAATTAAGAGGTCATTAAATCAAAATATATTTAAAAGTATAGGTGGGAAATTGAATACATTGATTACCCAATAACTACACCACATGGAGAATCAAAAAATCAAAAAAAAGAAATACTCTTGCAAAAACGAAGAGAATTAAATAAATAAATAAATAAATAAATAAATTTAGTATATAAAATTTTGTTAGGTAAATAAAAATTCACTGAGGTCTATTATTCACTCTCATAACTTTATGCATATACTATTAATTTATAGTTTGTCTTTATTAAATCTACTATTCACCTGAAAAATATATTGGCACATTATTTTATTTACCCCTATATATATTTTAATAGCTATATTACTTTATTATTAAACTAACAGTATGGATATTAAAAATGATATATAATCCCGTAAATTATGTCACCTCCAAAATACTTTTCGCCTGCGTTGACACGTGGCGTAATTATACACGCCATCTTATGCGCACGAGACGCATGGAAAGTATGACGTTGACTGGTCAAGCCAATGAATATTGGCCACGTCCAACTCATGCCACGTAAGAATGAAAATGATCTTAATCAAGCCGGCACCGTTGGATTTCGTCGTGTTCAAAACCACGATCTTCAGCGAACGACAACGCCTGCTTTGCCTTTTTAACTTAAAAATTAGGAAATGCCTTTTTTTTAATTAAAAAAATACAAAAATAGTAAGTAAATAAATCAGCCACGAGTTTTTTTATTTAATTGTTTGCAACGTTTTTTTTACGAAATTAATTTCTAAAAGTTTCGATATTATTTAAGGTGATAATGATTAATTTTTTATTTTAAAAACTTAAAACTTATTATCACAACTTACCTTTACAAATTTATTTATTTTTAATTATTTACTCACATTAATGCATTAATATGCATTTAAAATCACAATGCCTATATATTAAATTTAACAATAAAACAATTTAGTTTTCATGAATTTAGATAGGTCAGATCAAAGTTTTATTGGGCTAATAGGTGATGATGTAGGCCCATAAATATTGGTGACCCGAAATCTGGCCCAACATTTACAATCTTGGTGACCGAATTGGGCCCAAGCTTCGTTGGGCCCAACTTTTACAATATTTGTGACCCGAAATCTGGCCCAACCTTTACAATCTTGGTGACCGAATCGGGCCCAAGCTTCGTTGGGCCCAACTTTTACAATATTTGTGACCCGAAATCTGGCCCAACCTTTACAATCTTGGTGACCGAATTGGGCCCAAGCTTCGTTGGGCCCAACTTTTACAATATTTGTGACCCGAAATCGGACCCAATTTTCGTTGGGCTAATTGGTGATGTAGGCCCATAAATCATGATGATTTGCAGACGCCAATTTTTCACATTTTAACGCTCATTTAGTTTAAGCTAGAAAAGGTTGAATATGAAAGGTTGAAGGACTTAATAGCAAATTTAAAAAGTGTAAGCACTTGTCAGACAATTATAAAAACTAAAAGGACTAAACGTGTAAAATTGAAATTTAAGGGGGCAAGTATGCAATTTGAAGAAACATTATATGAAGGGAATTGAAGTTTGTGAATCCTGCAATTCCAACCAACCAACCAACCAACACAAGCATTGTGAATCCTGAATCGAATTCAATACTGAATTGAATGCGGATTCAATTCAATTCATTAATGGCGACTGCCATGAGTCGGCTTGTGTGAAGCGCTTTGGCATTTAGTAGCGCCATGTCTGAGCCGGACGTCCTTCCCCTTAATCATTTCAATGGGGAACAGCTTGTCCTCCACTTTGGTAGGTAAGTAACTCTATTTTACTTTCAGTCCCCCAAAACCTGCTTTCTCTCATTCTCTTAATTATTGTTACTTTTCCTATTTTCTAATGCTATTTGATTGCCAATGATTCGTTCCCAAACTCATCTTTATTCATACTTTTCAGTAACTCCGAGCTAAGCCGATTTCACGATCTTGTTTTTGACCTCACTCTTAAAAATACCTACTCTAATTTTACACTTTCTTCCTTGTTTTATGGTGTGCATGATGATGAAATGGAGAGTAAACAAAGTGGCACTGAAACAGTTCCTTATGTATTCCGGCAATTGTTGACTTGTAAGGGAGGGGTTTCCAAATTGGGCCCTGCATATTAAAATATAAATACTTCGGCATGAGATGTGAGATCTTTTATTGATTAGAAAAATTTAGAACAAAATCATGCGTATTGTTCAGACTCGGGATTCCAGCCTGTGCTTTGACTTTGAATCCAAATTTGTACTGTCCGTAATGAAAAGAAGGATTGAAAAAATAAAACCCAGAAAGAGAGTACAGTCGTTGGGACCTTGGATTCTTACTGAGGAAGATAAGTTTGATGGCCTTTTTTTTTTGGGGAGAACTGGAGAATGCACGGTGGAGTTGATGCTTTGTGGGCTTGGTCGATCACTTTTCTTTGTTGATGTTTTTCTGATCGCATTGCCTCTCCTCCATGATGCTCCTGTGGGTTTCCCTTTCTTTCTTCTACTTCTTCTTCTTCTTCTTTAGCTTTAGTAATCATACAATTTTGCTGCATTATGATGTCTACTTAGAGTGAGTTCCAGTTCATTTTGTCACTGCTTATGTTTTTCTCCATAATTTTCACCATTTCCTTGTTCTTCTCCTGTTATGGATTTCTTTCTATGGAAAGAACTGATGGGTTCCAATATGGTAGTAGTTATTTTAGGAAGGATAATTGAAAGAACAAGAACTAGAAACTGCTAGAACATTTTGTGTTCTGTATTTTGCACTGGTTGTCGAAAGAACATTGTAGTACAAGGCTTTACTGAATGGGAATTGGGCGTTTCATCTTACTGAAACTTGTTTATAAGAATTCCTTATCTTTTTTCCACTTTTATTCCATCTGTATTTGCAGATCTTCAGGTGGAATGAGCTAGCATGAGAGCAAAGGCCTGGATTAACCAACAAATTTTTGGCTTCAAGAGTAAATTCAGGAAGATGATAAATTGTATTCGTTCAGGGGATCAGTTAAGAGTAGATGAAATGATTCACTCATCAGATTCTCTGGCAACTCGAGATTATTCAGCTAGTGGCTTTTCATCCCGAACGGGTGAGGTGGAACCAAAGGTGGATAATGTCAACATTGAAGAAGCTGAATCATCTCTTCGTGAGAGTGGCTATCTGAATTATGAGGTTTGTCTATCGTCAATTATGAAATCACTGTTTAGTGAAAGAGGCAAGAAACTCACTGTGTTCTTGGTATAGGATTAGATCATTCTGATTTTTTGTTGAGGACATCACCTGAAAAAAGTACTTTCATGAGGCAGATCTGTCAACTAAACAGATTGAGGTGTTTACTCAACTAAAGTTTGGGTCTGTACAAATTCTTCAAATTTTGCTTATAGATTCAATCTGACCGTGTACAACCTAACGTAATAGAGATTATTCTGTTTGAAAACACGTTGTAGAGGGTGTCTAAGTATATTAGAAATGTTATGTTTTCTATTGATGAAACTGAGCTACAGTACCTTTTAATTTTCTAGGAAGCACGAGCTTTACTAGGAAGGCTGGAGTATCAAAAGGGAAACATAGAAGCTGCTCTTCAAGTTTTTGAAGGAATAGATATTGATGCTGTAATTTCCAGGATAAAATCTTCCATTTCGACGAGATATGAACAAAATAGACGCCAGTCACAATGTGATGCTGTGCCTAATATGTCGATGCATGCCATTAGTTTGCTTCTTGAAGCTATTTTTCTGAAAGCAAAGTCATTACAAGGTTTAGGAAGGTTTGTAGGTATTTTCTCTTCTCTCTCCCCCATGTTAGGAACCACGAATCTTCCAAATGGTATGTTATTGTCCACTTTGGGCATATGCTCTCATAACTTTGCTTTTAGTTTCCCCAAAAGATCTCATACAATGGAGATGTATTTCTTACTTATACACTCATGATCAACCTCTTAGTTAACCGATGTGGGATTCCCCACCAACAATCCTCAACAAAATATTTATAATCTTTCCTTTTTGTATATGATCTGCAGAGGCGGCCAAATCATGCAAACTAATTCTGGACACTGTGGAATCTGCTTTACCAGAAGGCTTACCTGAAAACTTTGCTATTGATTGTAAATTGCAAGAGACACTAACGAAGGCTGTTGAATTACTTCCAGAATTGTGGAAATCTGCCGGGTCTCCAGAAGAATCAATCTTGTCATATAGGCGTGCCCTTCTCTATCAATGGAATCTGGAAATGGAAACCAGAGCAAAAATAGAAAAAGAGTGCGCAATATTCCTTCTCTATAGTGGTTGTGATGCAAGTCCTCCCAATCTCCGTTCACAGATGGAAAGCTCATTCGTGCCAAGAAGTAATATGGAAGAGGCCATTCTTCTTTTAATGGTTCTGATGAGAAAATATATACTTGGATTGATTGTATGGGACCCCTCAATAATAGAGCATCTCTCGTTTGCTCTGTCTATTTCAGGGGAACTTGGTACTTTAGCTAATGAGGTTGAACAATTGCCTCCAGGAATTATAAGCAGAAAAGAAAAATACTGCACCTTAGCTCTTTGTTACTATGGGGAAGGTAAAAGCTTAGTTGCGTTGAATCTTTTGAAGAACTTCTTGAGTAACATAGAGAATGTAGACTGTCTACTGGAATTGTTGCTGGCTTCAAAGCTCTGTGGGGAAATGTTGGTCTGTCTTGATGAGGGGGTGACATACACATTGAGAGTGCTTTCGGAGCTGCGTGGTAAATGCATTCAGATGGCTTCGGTGGCTAATTGTTTACTTGGCGTGCTGTTGTCGGTTATGTCCAAATTAGTTGCTTCCGATTCTCAGAAAGCTCTGAAACAGTCTGAAGCGCTCAAGGCACTACAAACTGCTGAGCAGCTGATGAGACAAAGAGATCCATTCATTGTTTATCATCTTTGTCTTGAATATGCTGAACAAAGGAAGCTGGATATGGCTCTATACTATGCAAAACAGTTAGTGAACCTCGAGGTTGGCTCTAGTCTGAAGTCTTATTTACTCTTGGCCAGAATATTGTCCGCCCAGCAACGATTTGTTGATGCAGAGACTGTACTCAATGCTGCTCTTGAGCAGACAGGGAAGTGGGAACAGGGGGAACTTTTACGAACTAAAGCTAAGCTCCAGATAGCACAGGGCCAGTTAAAGAATGGCATAGAAACATATACTCAACTTCTTGCTATAATTCAAGTCCAGACCAAAAGTAGTGGCGTTGGAAAGATGCTTTCAAAGGTAAGGGATTCGAATTGGGACAGATCAAAGCTTCTTCTTGTGGTCTTATTATATGATCGTCTAATGATTTCACTCTAAATTCTGAAGAGATTTCACTGAGAATTAAGATTGGTATCGGGCGCCTCGCTTGAAAACTGAATATACTTGTCTTTTAAGACATGATTTGGTGCCTTTGTTAACAATTAATTCATTTATTCCTTTGTTTCACCATCATACAGGATGTGAGAAAATCTGAGAGAAGTCTGGAAATTGATACATGGCATGACTTGGCCAATATCTACACAAGCTTGTCTCAGTGGCGGGATGCTGAGATATGTCTATCAAAATTGCAGAAAATCAATCCGTATTCTGCTTCCAAATGGCATTCCACAGGTAAAACATCATCCGAACTTTGTAGCTCTATTTGAAGGTTAGCACACAATATATTAATTTTTGGATCAATTGCTTGATCCACGTTGATGAATCAAGAACACCCTGGAACCCTGATATCTTCAATGTTCTATAATGAATTCATAACTTGACGAATCTGGTAGGTTTACTCTATGAATCCAAGGGTCTTCCAAGAGATGCTTTGCAAGCATACAACAAAGCATTGGACATTGATCCCGGCCATGTTCCCAGCTTGATATCCACTGCCTGTCTTCTCCAACAGCTAGGTGGGAGTCAGTCATTTCCTGTGGTAAGAAGCTTGCTAACCGACGCCCTTCGACTTGATCGAGCAAACCCTTCTGCTTGGTACAGTCTCGGGCTGCTATATAAAGCTGATGTCAGGGCATCTGCACTGGAGGTTGCGGAATGCTTTGAGGCTGCATCTCTGCTTGAAGAGTCAGCACCGGTTGAACCTTTCAGATGATGAACACTGGATTTCTTTACATGTAGAGAAGTGGGAATTTGCTATCCTAATTCTAATGTTGTTCTCAAGATCTTGCTTGCTGCATTTTGTTTTTCAGGATTAGGAACATTAGTATTAGATGATTGCCACAAAGTAGTGTGTAAATAACAAAGTCTTCTAGCCAATCTTCTTTTTTGTGTTCTTTTCAGCATTAGAATTTACTAGTTTGATCTGTAAAGCGAATTAATGAAGCATTGTCCGTATATAGGAGAAGTTGAGTTCAATTGTGGCACCAAATATTAGTATTTTTATATAATAGATATACTTTGCAAAAACAATTCATTTCTCTTAGTATAATAAGTGGGTATGGAGATTTGAACTTTGTGCCTCAATGTATATCAATGATCATTAGCAAAACTCATTTTGGCTATTATGGAGCACTGACCACCTTAAAATAACAGAGCTCTCTACTTATTTCCATCGAACATTAAATAACATCTTTCATTCATTCTCAATCTCTTTAGACTCTGTTTGAAACGTCTTTCTAAGTGCGGACCCTTAAACTAGTTAGAAAGGTAATGCTTCTCTTCTTCGGGCCATAGAGACGATTCAAAGAGGCATACGAGTAACCAAAATTTTCCTTTCTTCTTAAATGGGTTGAAAAACTTGGCAGCTCGTAGCTTGCTAGTGCTGTTGGTAATTTTGAAAGACTAGTTTTGGATATCATAAAGAAGGATATTTCTCCTGTGACAGCAAAATAAAATACCTACAGGGCTATTACTTGCTTCATCTACTACAGCACACTGCAGCCCTTGTGGGCTGTTCTCAAGGGCAATGGAAAGATGCAGAAATCAAATTTGAGGTTTTAGAGTCACCTAAAAGTGATACCTAATTTGATGATGCCTGTTCTTAGAGCCTGGTTTTGCAGCTCTCTACACTATCTATCAATTGATCTTATCTTTAACTGAGGGACATGTCCATATAGAGAAAATCAGTGTGGCTGGACTTCTAAAAGAGTGTATCATTCATGAAACCCAGAAAGGAAAAGGGATGGATTTCAGCTTCATTGCCAAATGGAGGAAAGCAAGGATACAAGAATAATGTGACATAAATGAACAGATTACTAACAACAAGGATAGGCAAAAACCAGCAGGATACGACATGATTGTGCAATTCGACAAATCTTCCTCAAAGTCTAAGAGTAAAATTAAAGGCATGAATTATATAATCATTCCTTACGAAGATCAATTCCTGCTTTCTTAGCAACAGCATCAAGTCCATTCTTCTCAATGGTCTTTAAAGCCTTTGTTGACAGGCGTAGTTTGACAAAACGCTTCCCGGCTTCCCACCAAACCTTCTTGTATTGAAGATTTACAAACTGCAATTTCTTGGTCTTGTGGTTCGAGAAAGAAACCAAGTTCTTCTTGTTTGCTTTCTTCCCAGTAAAGGGGCAAACTCTACCTGAAACAGAAAATGACCAAAGCAAGTATGAGATGGTTCCCAATTCCCATTCAAAGAAACAGCTACGAATCAACATTCCAATGCCACGGTTAAACAGTGATTAATAAAGCAATCAGGCATCTGGCTGATTTAGAAACCTAATTCAAATACAAAATGGTTGAGATGAAGAATGAGAAAAGAACATCCAGGCATGCAATCAGAGCCCAAAAGGGTCGAACACAATCATATACCAGAAAACAAAACATAGTAAGCAAGAGTAGAGAAGAGGGGATTACGTGCAACAGGTTGAAGCGCAGGTCTGAGAGGAGCAGAAATGGGTGAAGGGGAGATCAGCGAGTGGTTGGAGGAGATTTTGATGCCGCTCAATTGAGAAGAGAGAAACCCTAGCTCGGGATTGGGTTTAGTTCTGAAGTGAAGTTTCGATGACGACGCTGCCATTACACCGGAAGAACTGACCGGCGTAAAGCCTAAGACTGCGGAAACTGCCATTGTTTCTGAGCGGAGTTCTCTGTAAGTTGAGAAGCCTCTGGTTTTGTTTCTGAAGGAAAAAGGGATAAGCTTTCTTGTGTTGGGCTGGATAATGCTTCCGTAATTTTGAAAATATTATATATAATATATATATATATATATATATATTCAAGGGGAAAATATAAAAGTTAAAAAAAAAAAACCACTTCTTTTTATCATTTTTAATAAAAATAGATCTAAAATCTTAAGTTTTAAATATTAAAATCAAGGAAAGAATGAAAAAATTATAAGAGATATTAAATAATAATTAATTTTAATATATCTTTAACATATTCTATAAATTTTCTTCATTTTTCAGGTTATTATGATATAAAAAAGTTGCTTTATAACTTGATTAATTATTTATAATAATTATTTATATATTATTCATACCGGGGGAGAGGGCTTTTGCACTCTTCATGAAGGATATGTTGTAGCAAATTATAGAAAGCACAGAAATGAAACTTCAAAGCCTTAGGCAAATCCAGCATCATTGCTCAGTTCCTCTGCCCCTACATCATTTGCTCAAGTCCACTACAGAGCTACGTTGTGCCAAAGAATAGTTGTAGTTAATATAAACTTCAAATGTGCAAAGTTTTATCCATGTTCATCAACAACCGAAGTTACCATCTACTGAGCATGACACTCTTTTACGTAGTAGAGGTATTGATTATATATATATATATATATATATAGCAAATACTTCAGTTTCTTGATTCCAATTGCTGCAAGTTTTTCAATTTGCCTTTCCATTGATTCCAGATTCCCTTTCCCCTCTCTCTAGTCGTATGCACATCTTCTCGACTTATCGAATGGATGCATCACCTCATGTTTTCTCTGCGTCTCACAAAGCGGGTTCTATCATTATACCTTGGTCTATCTTGAGCTCTCTGTGGCTGTGGCTCCACCCTTCTCTGTCTCTCTGGTGACCTTTGAACGATCTCTCCATTCACAAACAACTCAGCTGCACCCAACACAAACAATGGCATTAATATATCATAATGACTCAAAATCATTTATTGACAACTACTAACAAGCTGAAAGTCAATGAAACACGAGCACTCAAAACTAGACATCCTAAACCAACCAAACAACTAGAGAGAGCTCTGCCAAAAGGGAAAACTATTAAATATCATTTTCACTTAATCCTGCAATTTCATTCATTGGAACCATCTCAACTCGTGGACTTTACTCTTAAGTATTTATAAGCTAACTTGATGTTTCATCTCTACTGATCTGCATCTCCACAAAGTATAAAAAGCACAGAACAGACAAGAAAGACATTTACTCTAAGTCCATTAGCATTCAAAACTAAACATTGTCTTGAAGACTGATTTAGGTTTGCCAAGATGGACTATACACACATTCATTAAATAACCCGTTGGAGGAGCAATCTCTTTTTCTTTCATACTATCTATCAACCAAAAGATTGATCTTCAACTATTAAAATAGGATGCAAGAAAGCTATTTGGCATAATTTATCAAGAATAAAAAACTAAGTACTGGAAAGATAAGACTTAAATAAATTGAAACAAGCTTTAATGTTTCATCTCTATTGATCTGCATCTCTACAAAGTAAGAAGAGTACAAAACAGTCAAGAGAGGCATTTGATGTAAGTCCATTAGCATTCAAAACTAAACATTGTCCGAAAGACTATTTAGGTTTGCCAAGATGGACTGAAGTAAATTGAAGCAAGCATTAATGTTTCATCCCTATTGATCTGCATCTCTACAAAGTAAGAAGAGCACATCACAGTCAAGATTGGCATTTGATGAAAATCCATTAGCATTCAAAACTAAACATTGTCTGAAAGACTATTTAGGTTTGCCAAGATGGACTGTACACATTCAATAAGTAACCTGTTGAAAGATGAAAAACAATCTATTTTATTCAATTCCCAGAAAGCTAGTTATCCTACTTTATTTGAACAAAAAATCTATGCATTGGATACATATACTTACAAAACATTGTAAGCAGGTCTTATAATGTTTCATCTTAACGGATCTGCATCCCCACAAAGTATAAAGAGAACAGAAGAGTCAAGAGAGACATTTGATGTACGTCCATTAGCATTCAAAGCTAAACATTGTCCAAAGGACTAATTTAGATTTGCCAAGATGGACTATAAACGAATTTAATAATAACCTATTGAAGAGCAAACTCTTATTCCCTCAACACTTTCCCACACCACGGAAACAAAGCTAATAAAGTAGGAACGAAGTAAGTCCAGGGAAAAAAACTGACACTTACAATAAATTCAATCAATAAGCAAAGTCAATGTTTCATCTCTACTGATCTGAATCTCCACAAAATACATAAAATTCAGAACAGTCTAGAGTGACATTTGTTGTGAGTCCATTAGCATTCAAAACTAAACATTGCCTACAAGACTGATTTAGCTTTGCCAAGATGGACTTAACATAGATAATGTTAATCTCTACTGACCTGCATATCCAGAAATAATAAGAAATGCAGGACACTCAAGAGTAACATTTATTCCAAGCCCTACATTGTCTAAGAAACTGGATTAGCTTTGCCAAGATGAACTTACGTTAACTTTTTTACATAGGCTCTCACCGTCAATATTTACCCGCCACAACAATACTCATGAACAAATTAGAACAAATTATTATAACACAGGATGTTCAAATGCGGGTCAGTGTACTGTAGACGGGAATAGGAGTATGCGCGTCAGTGTACCAAAGAAAGCTATAAATATGCCATAAATTAAAGTCGACAATTGCTTGAAAGCGGCTTATCCAAGATGGTCCTTTTAGAGATAAAGATCATTATCTCTCATGAACTCTCTGATTGGGTTTTGATGAAAAAAAAAAAAGAGAAGAAAATTGAAGTTATAAATCTTTACCCCCATAGTCTTTATTTTCAGGGTCAACGTAAGAATCGGGTAGAACAAATAGAACACCAGGCAAACCTGTTAACAAAGATTCCAACAAAAATCATCAATACAAACTTCAAGTTATACATCCCTCCATTAATTTCACAATGCCTTAGAAATAATTTGAAATGCGAGAAAGGAAAGGAAATGAAAACTGATTAGGGCACGAGAAGACCAAAACTGAAGATAATGACCTCAACACATACCTTCGAGCTTGTTGGACGTCTCTTCATCAATCTCACACCCAAACCCAAAATACCTCTCACAAGAAACATTATAAATCTTCTTCATCGCTTCCTCTTCACTGTTCAAAGAATATAAACAGGGCCAAAATCAAACCAGAAACCAACAGATATAGCAAACAAATCAGGCAAAAGATACATCATATAATCTGAAGTACCTGCCAAGAACTTTAGCGAGGGTCTGAATGTAGCAATCAATCATCTGCTGTTTAGTGGCACCCTCACCTCCAGGCTTGTCCATAACGATAAGCCAATGCTCATAGTCACAGCCAGGGAAAAGAGGCGCCATCTCAGTGGGTGGACGATCGCTGAAGTTGGAGTTAGAGTTCTGGGGAGAGTACGACGAGTTACCTGTCCGATTGACGCGGCAGCGAATCGAGGTGTACCTGGAGGCAGAAGGGTTAGATCGAACGACATGGGAAAGTGGAGGGAGAGATCGACGGCAAAGAGTGAGAAAAGGGGGTGAAGGAGGATGTGTAAGAGTGGTTGAGGATGAGAAGAGGCGCCTGTGAAGAAGAGAGAGGCGGGCTGTGGAACCCATAGCTCGAAGAACAGATAACGCCATCGAAGGCTACCGAGTAAGGGTTTATCGTGATGAAATGTGGATATGCGGTAAAAGAATGGGGCTTCGAGGGTTTTAATAGAAGAAGGCTCTCTGTACGGTCTTCCTTTTTTTTCTTATTGGGCCTGCCCTTTTTCTCTTTACGGCCCATGATTAAAAGCTTCTATTTTTTTTATTTTTTTATATAAAAAAAAAAACATTTAACTATAAATTTGAATCAACTATACCTAATACTCTTATAAACAAAATCACTCTTGTCCTATAAAGATTAATACTTACTCCACTCTTATTCTCACCGATGTTACTCTATATAAATGTTCCAAAATTACTCGACATAGAAATTATTTGATATTTCAAACATAAATTGAGTCACTTGAAATAATGTAGCGATCTACATTAGAGTCGTCGTCGTTGATATTTGCAACTTTGAAATAAGCGTAGGAAAGTTCCATCGAGACAGTCTGTTGGTAAAAGCTAGTGTAGCAAACAACTTCTAAATAAAGACACTTTTATTGACTCGGTACAAGATACAATTGCACGTCTATGACCTGATAGACAATCAATTTAGAGCTAACAAAGTCACCCAGGACAAACTTGGCCATGACAGGATCACATAGAAACACTTGAAAGCCATAAGAACATTGCTATGAGGCTTTCATACACAAAAGCAAGCAGCTTCACATTTTATTATACAAGATTTTCAAATGAAGGATGCAAAGCAATTACACTGCAGGGAGAAAAAAAGAGCAGATTCTTACAGCAACCATGTTGCAAGCTTTAGAATCGCGCTCAACTTTCCTACGACGGTCGTCTGGAAGCCATATGCTCTACCTTCTACAGATTCATATCAACAGAAAGATGGGTAAATTTAGAATGTTTACTTACTTTCATGAAAAAGTAATGGTAATGGTAATGGTCATGGATGTTGAAATGAAAACTAACCTGCTCTGTGTAGGGCAAATATTTACCATCAAATGTTATCACAACACGGTCCTTCCCATCAACACCCTTGACCTTGTCGACTGAGCAGTAGAAGTCTATGGCTGACATACTAGTAAACATAAATTAGACCTTGAAATGATTATATTATACATTAGTTTCTTCGACAGAATCTCCACTAAAGATTAAAGCTCATTGGTTTTGACTGTGAGGCGTGTTGAAGTTTACCGAGTTGAAGGACAACAGGTTGTTTATAATGAAATGTTTGGGCATACAAACATATAATGAATCATTGAAGATTTGTATCTGATGCACTGAATATGATCGCAAGGAATCACAAGAAAATCTTGACTGGTAATTTCTTATGAAGTTGAGACACATGTTTCATATGAATCTGATACACAACACAAAATTTCCAACATCAAACTGAAAGAACACTTGAAGACATCTGAGTCTGAGCAGATGACTGATATGAGCTCCAGAGCTACAATATCATCTTTCAGTAACTTCAAAATTTTCAAATAAGTTTCTCTACTTCCATATCCTAGCATTCTCTAGACCACTACATTTATTAATGTTGTTTGCTATGCTACCCCTGGAACTGATTCAAACTAATTATATCAGAATGAATCACGGATCTCCACAATCGTATGATATTGTCCATTTTGAGCATAAGCTCTCATGACTTTACTTTTGATTTCCCCAAAAAGCCTCATACCAATGGAGATAGTATTCATTACTTATAAACTCATGATCTTCCCCTAAAAGGAAATAAGCTAATGTGGGACTCATCTCTCAACAATCATCACACATTTATGTTCCAGTATGAGTTGAAGGGTCTCAAGTACTTGAATTATTAATGTTTTTCTTTGAATGATTCTCTAGTTTTCCTGATCGAGAATTCTTGGAAAGAGGAATAAAATATGTTTTGTGTTTTATGTCTTTTGTTTATTCATTGTTACATCCAAACTAAGAATTCAAAGATTGAGTACCAGAAGCTTCCTTGATAACGTCGAGGGAATTAAAGAAGCCATTTTATCTTTTAGTTCTTTTGCTTTAAAAGTAAGCTTGTATCCTAAGAATTTATTTACCTGTAATCTAACTACTAAATTTTTTTTGTCTAGTCAGATGTTCAAAACTAGAAATCAAAGCCTGATTCGTTTTTGTTGAAATGTGGCTAAGGTTTTAAATATGGTTTTAGATTGTAGAACACAAAACATTATATATTCATCAAACAGCCATATTAGAAAAAAGTTGTTTATCAATCTTAAGATTTAAAAATTTACAATCTATTATGGATTTCAGGTCGAAAAGAAGAAAAAAAATTCGGATAAATCAACTTACATTCCATCGCCAAACTCCTCATTAATAATTTCTTTGATGCTCTCGCCAAAATGCATAACTGCTTCGTTCAATCTATATCCAATGAAGTCTTAAGTCAGTACAGACGAGAAAATCCACTGGAAGTAAGCTCGATTAGCCGATTACTCATGCATAAGCATTTATCAAAATTAGAGGCTATTCATATAGAAATATAATAGCGGTTAATTGATCGGATTGCTCTACTAACTAAACAGCGTCCAGAAAATACAAATGATTATTCAATTCACCGTATGCTAATACTAGATTTCCCCTAAACCAAAAAAAATTCAAGCGATTAAAATCCACAGCGAACTTCATAAAGAAAAATGGTGAAAGGAAAGCCATAAACAACGAATTAGTAGATAATCCACCTGTAAATCGTAGGTTCTTGGATCAAACAAGGATCGTAGCACCTCATTGGCGGCAGCATCATCTCTTGAATATGATCATCGGTAAGATGAGGCAAGGCTGCCCTCAATTTCGGGACAGTCTCAGGCTTAAGTTGCGCTTGACGCCGGAGAAGCTGAGCGACATAGACGTTAGTGAGGCCAGTCTCTTCCGCTATCTGGTTGCAAGATTTTCCCGACAAGCGCTTCGCGTCCTGCAGCTGACGGATTGCGCTAGCTCTGCTACTACCTTCCATTTCGATGGAGCTCTCTCCCACTCTCTCAATCTCTCTCTGTAACGAAAGAAGACGGATGATTATTGCCACACGGCGGTTGGGTACACCAATGGGTAATTATAAACAATAAAATATAATCTTAAATAAAATAACAAAAATTATACCCACCGTTGGATTATAGTAGTGCTGTTTGACCGTTCGATCAAGCAAATATCAGTTTTGCCTTTTCTTCTTACGTTCATCGTTGGCAGCCTGTCGAATTCTCGCGATTTCCATTTTTTTTAAAACAATTTTATTTATTTATTTATTTTTGTATTTATTCACTTACAAAATAATTATCTAATAAATTTTTATTTTTTAAATCTCTAGAAAAATTAATTGATTTATTTAATATAATTTAAATTTTATATTCAAATATATATAAAATTGTATTTGATTTATTTTTGATAAATCAAATTCTTTATTCATTAAAAATTATACATCTATATCATTATTTGTTGGTCGCTATAATTTATTTATTTTTAACGACCAGTGTCTAACCCTGGGTGAATGTGGGCCCATTGGGCCGTTTTGGAGCAGAAGGCCCATACAAATGGGCCTGCCCAATTTTTGAGTTTGAAAGCAGTTGGATTGTCCATATGAAGAATGATTTCATATTTTTAATAACATACTTAATATCACTTTATATATATATATATATATATATATATATATATAACCGAACTTTATGTTTAAGAAATCAACATAAAAATAAAAAGATAAAAATAAAAATGTAAAATAATAAGTAATATCAATAATTTAATTGCTCGATATTTTTTTTCCTCCTCCTATGTCTTGGGCTATGACTCTGTTATTAGTCAAGGTAGCTCGCTGGAAAACATGACCAAGTCAAATTAAATAATTACAATAATAAATAAATAAAAGGAAGTCAATGGTATAAATCATGTCTTTTCTTTTAATCCAAAATATGAAATTAATAAATGTGATTTGCATGAATAAACACCAGTCTAGTCGTTTGACTAAACCTTAACCTTATGGTTCGAAAGTCAATCCTACAAGTTATTAATTTCAAACTGCAACCTGGTCCCTACGTGACATTTAAAATAATGTGAATGGTGAAAATGCACGTTTTAATTCAACATTGCATTTATTGTTCTAAAGGTGAATCACGAGATGGATTTATCTTAACCTATTTATACTAGAAATTTCAAATGTCAAATTCAACTAGATATGATACCTCATTCTCACTCTCCTTTGTCAACCACGATGGTTGAATATAATAATATGCTAAGAAAAAATATATATTCTATAACAAATTTCCCACCCAAACCTAAAAAATATACATATTACCCGTTATTTTGATATCATATTCAAGAGCACGATTGTTTAATTAAAAATAGAGATATTCATTTAACAAGGGAGAACACAAGTCACCGGAATTCAGACTAATTTATTATATATATACTATGTTATATATATATATTTAATTGAAATTAGATTAAAAAATCAGAAATTATCCATAAATATTTTTTAAAGTCATAAATGAAAATTTTAACGAGAAAAATGGAATATATAGCTCCATGATTTATCTAATTAAAAGCTATTAAGGAATAGTAATTTGGTTGACTAGAGAGAGAGAGAGAGAGAGAGAGAGAGAGGAAGACTTAAAAGGGAAGGAGTCGTTCCAGGTTGAAAGGAAAAGCTGAAGCAATGAGAGTAGGCGATACATCTCCTTGGCCATCAATGGCGACAGGCGCTGTTGCAGAAGAGAGTGGGGTTGACGGCTACACCAAAGACGGAACCGTCGATCTAAAAGGCAACCCCGTCCGTCGCTCCCACAGAGGCGGCTGGTCAGCCTGCTTCTTCATCGTTGGTAAATTAATTAAAACTATATCTCTGATTCTTGTTATTAGTTTAATCAAAATGGATTAATGGAAGCTATTTGTACAGTGTACGAAGTGTTCGAGCGGACGGCCTACTACGGCATATTCTCCAATCTTATTACTTATTTGACCGATAAGCTTCACCAAGGCACCGTCGCCGCCTCTAACAATGTCACCAACTGGACTGGAACCGTTTGGATGACTCCAATCCTTGGAGCTTACATTGCCGACGCCCATCTCGGCCGTTACCGCACCTTCATCGTCGCCTCCGCCATCTGCTTTTTGGTAATTTATATTGAGGATTGCTGAGAGGGAGTGCACATAGCTAATTTAGGCAATGATCATGAATTTATAGGAATACATTTCTCCATTCGGAGAAGCAAAAAATAAAGTCACGAGAGCTTATGCTCAAAGTGGACAATATTATACTATTGTAGAGAGTCGTTATTCTTAACTTGGTATCGGAGTCATGCCCTTAACGTAGTCATGTTAATAAAATGTTCAAATGTCGAACAAATAAGTTGTGAGCCTCGAAGGTGTAGTTAAAAGTGACTCAAGTTTCGAACAAATTATGTACTTTGTTCAAAGACTCCAGAGAAGGAGTTGAGCCTCGATTGAGGGGAGGTTGTTCGAGGGCTCCATAGGCCTCAAGAGAGGCTCTATAGTGTACTTTGTTTGAGGGGTGTTGAACAAATGGTGTACTTTGTTCGAGGACTCCAGAGAAGAAGTCGAGCCTCGATTAAGGGGAGGTTGTTCGAAGGTTCCACAGGTCTCAAGGGAGGCTCTATAATGTACTTTGTTCGGGAGGAAAATTGTTGAGAGGGAGTCTTAATTTAGAAAATGATCATATGTTTATAAGTAAGGAACACATCTCTACTGGAACGAGGCATTTTGAGAAAGCCGGAGGCAAAACCATGAGAGTTTATACTCAAAGTGAACAATATCATCGTGGAGAGTCGTTATTTCTAACAATTCAATCATTATAAGGTTTTTGGGTTGCTCTGAACTCTACCAATTCATTTCACAGGGAATGTCTCTTCTAACACTGGCAGTGTCCATGCCAAGCCTGAAGCCCCCTCCATGTTCGGAACCAAATATAGAACACTGCAAGCCGGCCTCTAGGCTACACCTCGCTGTGTTCTTCACCGCACTCTACACATTGGCTCTCGGCACCGGTGGAACCAAACCGAACATCTCAACGATCGGAGCCGACCAATTCGATGACTTCCATCCAGAAGAGAAGGCCCAGAAGCTGTCCTTCTTCAACTGGTGGATGTTCAGCATCTTCTTCGGCACTCTGTTTGCCACCACCACTCTTGTTTACATACAGGACAATGTGGGGTGGAGCTTGGGATATGGCATTCCCACGGTCGGCCTTGCAATAGCCATTCTCATATTTGCTGCTGGCACACCCTTGTACAGGCACAAGCTCCCCACTGGAAGCCCCTTTATCAGAATGGCTAAGGTCATTTTCGCTACTGCTTGGAATTGGAGGCAGCCTCTTCCAAATGACCCTAGGCAACTCCATGAGCTTCAGCTTGAGGAGTACACTAAGAAAGGAGCTTTCAGGATTGATTCCACTCCATCCTTAAGGTCACCCATCTCTAAAATTAGAATCACTTGGATTTGTATATGTGCAAGAGTTGGGGTTCAATGAGATTGTATTCTTGACTGCATATGCAGGTTCCTCAACAAGGCTGCCATAAGAATAGGCTCAAGTACTCATCCATGGAAGCTATGCACAGTGACCCAAGTGGAGGAGACAAAACAGATGCTGAGAATGATCCCAATTCTGATATGCACATTCATTCCAAGCACAATGTTGCCACAAGCACATACCCTTTTCATCAAGCAAGGGAGGACTCTCAACCGAAGCTTCGGTAGCAACTTTCAAATCCCTCCTGCAAGTTTAACTGCTTTTGTTACCATCTCCATGCTCGTCAGCGTCATCATCTACGACAGGTTTGCTAAAATTTATTGCCAATATTGCTTCCGAAGTTAATATTAGGAATCACAAATATGCATAAGCTTTCGTGACTTTACTTTGAACCTTCCAAAAGGCCTCATACCAATGAAATTAGTGTTCCTCCTTACTTATAAACCCATAATCTTCCTCTTAATTAGTCAATGTGGGACTATTTCTTTCAATAATTCTCAACCATCTTCCCCTCGAACAAAGTAGTACAACATAGAGCCTCCCTTGAGGCATATGGAGCCCTCGAACAAAGTACACCTTTTGTTCTACATCTTCAAGGCTCACAACTTCTTTGTTCGACATTTGAGGATTCTATTGGCATGGGTAAATTAAGGGCTTGGATTTGATAACATGTTAGGAATCACGGATCTCCACAATGATATGATATTGTCCACTTTGAGCATAATCTCTCATGGCTTTGCTTTGAGATTCTCCAAAATGCCTCATACCAATGGAGATGTATTTCTTATTTATAAACTCATGATCATTCCTTAAATTAGCCAACGGGAACTCCCTTCCAACAATCCTCAATAGTTAAGTCATACGAAGCCTTGAAGATAGATTTTTTTGTGTTCGTTCTTGATAGGTTGTTCGTTAAGATAATGCAGAGACTAACCAACAATCCAAGAGGAATCACACTGCTACAAAGAATGGGAATTGGAATGATTCTCCATATCTTAATAATGACAATTGCATCTTTGGTCGAAAGGCACAGACTTGATGTGGCTAGACAAAATGGTTCAAGACAAGAACTCCCCTTAACCATCTTCACTCTGCTGCCTCAGTTCATGCTTGTGGGAGTAGCTGATGCGTTTACAGAGGTAGCAAAGATTGAATTCTTCTATGATCAAGCGCCAGAAAGCATGAAGAGTTTAGGCACTTCCTATTCAATGACTTCGCTTGGAATTGGAAACTTTCTAAGCAGTTTCCTTCTTTCAACTGTTTCTCATATTACAGAGAAACATGGCAATGGATGGATCATGAACGACCTGAATGCTTCTCATCTTGACTATTACTACGCGTTCTTGGCAGTTCTTAGTGCCATCAACTTCTTTCTCTTCCTGCTCATCTCCAAATTCTATGTGTATAAAGCTGAAGTCTCCGATTCATTAAAAGTGCTGACAGAAAAACTCAAGGAAAATAAACTGAAGCCATCCAACCCAAACGAAAAATGGGCTACCACGAGGGCCACATCCGATGAAGGAAGAGCCCACCTGCCCCCCTTTAGCTTGTTTTAGATTA